CACATAAATGTCTATATAGGGAGGGACAGGACTCCCCTCACCAAAATCCTAAATATAAGTAAGACACTAGCAGAAAGTATTAAGCTTTTAAGATCTGAGGACAGGAAAAGAGTTAGTGTCTATTTCTTTGCACACCTATTTCTCTTTGTATATCCAGTCATGTTTTACAGTGAATTCTTGTTGCCAGTAGTGGACATGAGAAGAAAAGCATGTGTGGTGTTCTAGGAACTGATTAGTAAATTGCTTGTTTAGCTGATTGTATGATCAATGGATACAACAGATCAGAATTTAGCTCTGACAGGCTTTTTCCACAAAGCATAAATGCAGATGTGAATTGAACAGTTGTGGTGTCTTTAAATGTCTCTGTTTTGCAGCTGACCTTGCTTTGAGTGTACCTATATCTTACTTTTTTAAGGTTATCTTTTTACACCCCATTTCTTTCCCCTCCTCCTCACTAATTCCTGCTTCCTATATTTTGTATTAAGGTTGACCATGTCCTGACATGTGCTAATAAAATCAAATAGGTAGTCTTTGTTCCAGGTTTGATATAAATAAAATACAGCAGAATGTCAGAGCACAGGACAAAGATGGCAACTTAAACCAGACACAGTCAGTAAATCACAGAATGATTTGGGTTGGAAGGGACCTTAAAGCTCATTCAGTTCCAAGCCCCTGCCATGAACAGAGACACCTTCCACTAGACCAGGTTTCTCAAAGCCCCAGACAGCCTGGCCTTGAACACTGCCAAGAATGGGGCAGCCACAGCTTCTCTGGGCAACCTGTGCCAGGGCCTCACCACCCTCATAGTGAAGAATTTCTTCCTTATGTCTAATCTAAATCTACTCTCTTTGAGTTTTATACACTTGAATTTGGAACAGTAAGTTAAACAAGTCCATCAGGCCCACATCTCTGAACACAATTGTTCTGAGCAAGACTAATATGTTAGGATAGATGTAATTTGATGTATCAGTCACATAAAGAAAACAGAAGGCTGGGAATATTTATTTAATATGCTTCTAAATCAATATCTGGCTACTGCAAGCTCAGGTTTGCAAGATTTCTTTTTTTTTCCCTCTCTACAAATTCATGTTAGTATATCTGAGCCAAACTAAACTGATTCATAGGTAACAGATATTTCCAGTTCATAAAACTCCATTTCTGAAGAGTAGGAGGTAGGATTCAGTTCTTCTGGATGGAAATACCCATAATGCAGACTACTGATAATTTCTCCAAATTATTTTATTGTTATTTAGGAAAAATACATGGTTTTAACCCCAAAATCATGTGGTCTGTTTCAGGCTGAGACGTTCAGGATAATGCACATCACATCTCGGAAGTGATTGTTTTACTTACTAACTATAAAGGGAACTAAATTTAGATGTAGACAGCTATACAATAGACTACTAATAACAGATATATACAGTTTGAATATAAATTGAATTCTACCCAGTTATTAAAAGACTATGAAGGGCATGTGGAATCATAGCATCAGTATTGAAAGTCAAGAAATACAAGGTAGAGGAGTACACACTTAGAAAATGGTGATGCCTTAAGTGCTATTGATCTCATGGGACTTTCACTTGGAGATTCACCTGATTCTACAGGCCTAGCTTTTCCAAAAACTACTCTGGGTTCCCCTCCTTGGAGGTACTAGATCAGTGATGACAATAGAGCTTGAAACACAATAAACCTGCTGAAATGCTGGCATCTTAGTATGAGAGAAATCTCTCCCAAGACACCACTCATTGTCTCATCTAAATGTTTAATTCAGATGGGAGTCCGCAGCTTCCTGAGATGCCCCATAGTACCCTATCAGGGCTCCAGCTACAATCTGAAAGGGTACAGGTCTTCCATACATCCTTTGCAACGTCCTTAGAGCTACAAGGGTGTTTTTGACATCTTGGTTTATATTAAATGGTGCCCAGTGCCTCCACATAGTCCATTGCATTTAGACTTTGTTCTCCACTAACTTAGAAGATCTCTTTCCCTCTGTTGGAATAACAAGCTCAGTCATAGAAATCAACATTTTAGATATGTTCTTTTAGTTAGACAAGACTATATTTTATGGCTTCTTTCAAAAGTGTCTATGCATTGATTTATGAAGAAATGTATATATTTGCTTTTCCCTGCCTTTATCTTAGAAAATCACTAACGTAAGCATGTATACTTAGATATCATTAATACCAGTGTGAATAACTGGATACTTTTCAATAACAGGAACTTCTAAAAGACATGTATTAGTTTCAGCCAGGAAATATTTTTTCTTACTAATTATTTTTCTTCAGTTCTGTACAGAACAGAGTGTTCCATGTTCCACTTCCTGGACTGTGTACATTTTCTATTTCACCAAGTGTCTCTAAAAAGGAAAAACATTACAGGATGCAGAAACCAGAAATCTATGCCTCTGTTCACAGCACTTTTTCTCAGGGTCTCTTTCATGCAATTAAATATTCCCTCTTGCCTTTTCTTCCATCTAGCCCTATGGTTCCTGCACATCAGGCTGTTGAGTGGCATGGCTGAGCTTCAGTGATACATGTGTAAAGCCATCTCAGTAAAGATATGCTATGAAGGGGTATGTAATATGCCCTCTGGTTATGTAGCCTACATTCATCTTTTATCAAGTAGTTTCCTATTTCATTGTGTTATAACTTCATGTTACAAAAAGGTGAGAAGCTGCTCCACAAGCAAGCTTGGCCATAGCCAAATCCAGTTATTTCAGTAATCATTATGCATCAAGCTGCAATTAATCAGCAATATCATTTCTAAATTACTCTTCATGCTGGGATTCTGTGATTTAAAATTGAGATTATCTTAATACTGCTTTTCATTGCTCCAAATTTTTCTCATTTGCTTACTGCAACCAGTCCAATAGAATGGTCCATGCAGGACTCACTGGCTTGCAAATCAGATTTTCCTATTTTCTTCTACATTTTAACATGTTTTTCAGACTCACTAAATTCAAAATATTTATTACCGGCTGGACACTATTAAAAGATGACCAACCTTCTTTCTGTGCCACCTACAATACCTCTCATTTACTAAGTGTATGAGAAGGCTAAAATGCTTACAGAATTAATTTTGGACTGACACTTTTTTAAAGACTAAACAGCAAAAGTCCCCACAATGTTGTCACCTTTTCCTAGCAAATACATGTGGCCAACAAAAAGGCATTAATGGAAAACTTCAGTTCATATAGCCTCCTCTCATGTAATCATAAAATCACTGAATGGTTTGGGTTAAAAGGGTCTTTAATGCTCACCTGGTTCCAATCCCCTGCCATTGGCAGGGACACCTTACACTAGATCAGGTTGCTCAAAGCCTTGTCCAACCTAGCCTTGAACACTGCTTCTCTGGGTAACCTGTGCCAGTGCCTCACCACTCTCACAGGAAAGAATTTTACAAAGAGATAATTATCTCTGAAGTCATTAACCATGCAAACTGAAGCTGAGCCCTTAAACCCCTTTTTATCCATGAGTAAGAAACAAGTATTTCCAGATCATCATTACATTTGAGACATGTGTGGTACCTTGGAGTCTGTATTGCTTTGGTTTTGTGTCTTTCACTATTAGTTAGAACAAAAGGGATGCATTTTTGACTTTCCTAACAAAAAAGAAAAAGCCAACCAAACAAAAAAATGCTCGATAAATCACTTATACCAAAAATCACTGTATTCTGAGAAATGTTTGCTTTCTTTGTTTCCTGTTGGCCAGATTCATTTCAAATAACAGATATTCTCTAAAGCATTAGATGGGCAGAACTATGTCTTGTTTGGTTACAGCAGACTCTCAGGGGAAGACATCTTGGGGTTGGGGGGTGGGAAGTGTTTTTCCGTATGAATATTCCATACATAAATCTTCTTTATACACTTTCTTTGCATCCTTCCATATTGTTGTTAACATTCACTTAAAACAGGCATTAGTTCATTTGTTTTCTGGGAGCAATCTGAATGAGGAGATGTAGCTTATCTATCTCATTGACCTATATCTGATAGTTTCTCTTATTCTAATCTAACATTTTAAATGCATTAGATATGTTGCTTCCTAAAGGTGACTCTAAAAGTATTCTTCTAACTATTTATAAGAAAGGGAAATTAAAAAGATTAGCTCAAATGCAAATGCTTTTACTATTGAGTTGTCCCAGGAGCTGGAATGAATTTTACCCCAGGTTTCTTTTCTGGAGCCAGATACTTGATGTCCCGTTGTATAGATTTAGAAAATGTTCCTAGTAAATTACTAGATCTAACCTGTAGCTGAGGTGCCAATCTGTATAACGTTAAAAAAGATCTATGCTATGTTTTTACATTGTTCAGCTTTGCCACATTTCAACAAAGACTAAGGAGAGCATGAACACATGGACATATTTAAAACAAAGAATAAAAAAAAAACAAAAACTAGTACTCTTTATAATTTCCTCTTCTGTGCTCTGTTTCTAGGGTGCTGATTTCTCTAAGGAGGAATGTATGAGCAATGAGCTCCTGTTTAAAAATCACAAAGTTTAAAATATCCTTTTTTATTTAAAAACAATAAATCAGGAAATTCAGAAACTTCCTATTTTGTAGGCTCTATATAAATATATTTAACTATTATATTTATTTATGGGATGATTTGTCAGCAGCAGAACTGAGTAGTTATTGAAATGCCTCAGGTAACCACACAGACATAATTATGTGTGTGCTTAGTCTACAGCCTCACTTGTTGAGCATTTAGTTGCTACTGGACATAAAGCAAACAACTTGAACAATATTCATTCAAAGTAAGTTTTAAACTTACAAATTAGAAACATTGCATTATGCCTACAAGTACACTACACTCCATAGAGCCACTAGAAGGACAAGACCAAAGCAAACCCAGGACTGAGAGGTCTGTTTCCAAATCTAGCTAGTAAGAGATGTGTTGAGTCTTTCTCTGCTGCTCCTCATCCCTCACCACTGCAGATCTGAACGTGAAGCCACGTTCAGCAGAGGCTTAAATTCAGCAATCAAGTCATCAGAGCCCAGCAAATGGGGAGCAGTCACACTGAGTCTGCAGGTCTGCCTTCGAGAGCAGACCTGAAAAATCACCTGTAGGCAATGGTTCCTGAAATATCTCCTTTGTAAAGTGAAAGCAAGTATCAACCCTTAAAGACTGCAGCTGTGCCACAGTGGGCTGTGATTTAATCAGCACATCTGTTTGAACTGAGAGATTGCAGAGAAAAACCTGTGGTGAGTACTTGAACTGTGTGTTTCTTGAGGGTGGATTTGCTCTACCTGCTCCTATGCTAGCTGAACGCACCTCATCTACTTTAAAAACAACAGAGTGATATTTTAATGGTGGTGTAACCAAAACTTCCAATTTGCAAGTCGTCTGTGCCCGGCATCTCAACTCTGGTTATGAACTGGCCTTAAAAGCAAAGGTCCTAGTTTCTGTCTTTATCTACAACTTTGCCTAGGCTACCTTTGTTCGTGTGGCATCTACCCCCATCTGACAGTAACTGTTTGAATTATTATCCTGTTGGTTGTCTCCCTAATAGTTATCTGGAGTGGGAGGGGAATTGGGTTGGATGGAAGAAATTAATAACCTTCCTTTTTGCGAAACAAAGTTAGCTAAAAGAATGAGATCTGCAAGGTGCTTTGTACAGCTAAGAAAAAGATCTGTGCAAAGCCTGAACCACACAGATCAGCATCAATTTTAATCAAAGGCACTAGTTAAGCTGTCATTATTTTCAGTGGAACTGAAGAATTGAAGAAATTGGAATTTTTCTTTCACTGAGCTCAAATCAGGTTCTTCTTGTTAAGGTTTAATATAAGGGCTGGAAGAATAACTTTTGGAGGCAAATCTCTTAAACTGATTTTTTTTTTTAAAGAAATTTCCATTGCTTAATCTTGCAGAACCCTGTGGAATTTGTTTTTTTTTTTAATTAAATTACTCCACCCTTTCAGGTAATCCATGTGAAGAAGTGGGAATTCATGTGTTAAACTGGTCTTTGTAGCATGGTCCCGGATGTCAGTATATTAATCTTTGTTTTCTTCCCAATTATTTTACCCATAGACCATGAACTGTAGCATATCTGACAGACATTCTTTATAGAACAAATGGATTTCACTATTTAAACAGGTGTGGCACACTTGCAGTGGTATTATTTCATTTTAGCAATACAAATAAAGCCCAGGTGACTGTACCAAATTAATGAAAATTACTGAGTACACTGGATAGAGTAAAATAATAGAACTATCTCCCAGGACACTGAATATCTGGAGGTGGTAGACTGCCTTTCCTCACAATCAATAGAGATGCAGTTTTAACGGCCATGGTAGGCAGTTCATGAGGTTTTCTGACTGCGATAACCTTGGTCTCATCAAAGTTGCCACAAGCACCTCGGATAAGAAAGCACCTTTGCCCTTATCTCAGAACATGGAAGGATATGGGAGACTTTATCACAAGCAATTTCCCGTAGTGCTGCCCGCTATATAAATAAAGAACAAAAGCTTCTGTTAGGAAGGAATTATAATCCGATATTAAAATGCTGGCAACAGCATATACCTGCAGAAATACTGCAGAAAATAGAAAACAAAGAAATTATTTGAGTTGTACTACAGACAGAAAATTTGACTCAGCATGACAAAAGTGATGCTCAGTGTGTAAGGTATCACAGCCAAGGCAAGGATGGGGACAGGAGCTGTAAGAAAACACTGAGATGTGCAGGTATTTCATGCCCCCTGAAAACCAACAGGCAGCATGGAAAGAAGCAGGACAGGCTGTGTTTAAAAGAGCAGAGGCGAGCTTTGAGGACCTAAAGCTGGCTTTGTGATATTACCTTATAAATGAGTGAAAGCAAAGATTCAGCAAAAAGGAAACTTAAGCTGACTGATGCTGAACTGGAGCAAAAAATCAAACACATACCATGCATCTCTTCAGACTAAAGGGGGAAAATGTACACATCTGTAGCCATTCTTCAAGTTACTCTTGAGCAACACATGGAGTGAATTTTGTGTACACTGAAGTCTAGTACCACAGCCTTTTAGCTTCAATAAGATAATGCAATATAAATTTTATTTAGCAAATGGAAGTTTAGGAGCCACTTGGAAGAAAGTATCACTGCGTGGCCCAGTGTGCAGGTCATTCTGTGCATGTGCCGGCTTATGTCTCTGCCTCAAAATAATTATTTCACTCCTTTGCCAGAGCCAAAAAGACAACTACAAAGCAACCACCCCTAAGTTTAAGCTTTCATTTTGTGAACATAGGATCAGCACTGCAGCTTGCTGATCATTCTACAAGCATTTTGGCAAAGGCAAAGTTAAAGTGCTGCAAAAGGATAGGCCTTTTATCTTCTTTCTTTCTTTGCCCTGGAGATAATCAAAAAAAGCCAGAACAATGCAGTTGGATTGGTTCATTTTCAGTCACCTGTTCCTTAACAAAAGTTCTTTCTTCTAAAATATGCAGCCCAAAAGCTGATGTCATTTACCAGCAATAAATATTGATAAGGAAAGGCGTATATATATATATACATACATATATACATACAACCCTAGAGTGAGGAGAACCTCTCACTCCTGCCTCTTTTCCTGAAAGATACAGGATTCTGGCTGGACAAAAGGTAATGTATGCAGCATTTAATTTCAGTATTAGAGACTTTATCCATACAGTCTCTTGGTCAGTATTGATTGAGCACTGTGCTACAAAGGATAATGTAGTTAATATCTAAGTTGTACCAAATGTGCTAATTAAGAGAAAACATCTGCTTACAATAATTCCAGAGGAAAATTAAAAAAATAAATTGTATTTTCAGCTTAGAAAGCACACCTCTCACTCGTGTGGGTGAGAAATGGCTTCAAAGAAAGTAACACGTCAATTCATTTGCTTTATTCTTCAAATTAATTAATTCATTTTACAGAGGGTGGGCAATCATGGGAAATGTTTTTCTAATGTAGTTTGGTTTTTATGTTAAATCACTTAGAGTGTCAGGATATACCATTACAGCTGAAATCAGAATCTTGCCAACTAGAAATGTTAAATTATCTATCCAAGCTTCCAGATATATATGCTATCAAAATGTCTATTATACCTTATAGTATTGCAGTAAACTGGTTGCATTTTTTTAATGCAGAGCAAATTCTTTTTTACAAAATGAGAGCTAAAAATGTAAACTCAGAGAAAGTAGAAAAGCTTTTATCAAAGTAACTGAAAAGACAAACTTTCAAACCTGCTATGCCTTTGAAAGCTTTATCAGCTGGCAGGAAGAAGTCTCTGCTGAGGCATGAAGCACCAGGGCTAAACATGGAAAGCCTGGACTGTATTTTTCAAATATAACTTTGTTTCTAGCTTCTTAGTTATATATTTTAATATCTTTTTTTTACAGTCAATCAAATTTGCATGAAATGTCCTGTTTTCGGGCAGAGCTGTCTAAAAGCACATTGCTAGAATCTGTCTTTTCAGAAACATAGAAATGATTTAGTGGATTGAATACTATTAACATGTAAAAATAATTGTACCTGGGAACTGTCATCTTTTGACTTTGAAAATACTGTCAAATATATTTACTCCGATGGGTACAGTCTGACAATTGATGATATGCAGTAATATTTTAATAAAGTTTTATTCTGGAGCTATAAATGGGTTTATGTTTCCAGTTGTAGCACTTATCTGAGGAGTCCCAGAAAGGTTTTGTTTCTGCATGTAAGGACAAGACAACTCCACAGTGGCCAAAACTATCCCTTTAGTTTAAGAATTTATTCTTCATCAATATGAGTGAGAGCTCCTCTACCTCATGCAAGTGGTTTCCTTATGCAGGTGTGGGAAAAGAAGCTGAAGTCTGAATATCCGAATAACATGAAGTCTTTGATGTGATACGATATGTCTTGCTGATTTATATCATGCAACAGAATATAGTACTGAAATAAATGATCTACCTGCCATCTATCTCGTATCAGGAGCATTATAGTAACCAGGAGTCACCAGCTCACACTCTCTTGATAGGGTCAATTAACCTTTTAGGTGTTATCTTAGGCACAATAATGTAATAATGAAGCCCACTGAATTCAAACTCACATCTCCGCATGGCAGTGCTGTGCTACCTTTTTTGTTAGTATCAATTTGGAAATGAATACACCAAGCTCATTACTTTGTGAGTTCATGAACGAATACAGCATCTTGTGTAGAATAACTCAACAGGGTGTGGAGCTTTCAGTCTGAACTCAGACAATTTAGTCTTGCACTGCTACCATGCAAGAGAAAAGAGAACAGTGTTTTCATTTTTCTTCTTTGGCTTAATTTCTTAAGGGTAGGTGGAAACCCTGCATAGCTGGGCACCTAAAAAAAATAGAGAACTTAACTTGTTCAAACAAGTGGCTCAATTGCTACCTTCTGATATTTTGACTCGTGGCTTACATCTGTTCATTAACATTTTGCTGTGAATATTAGCCCTAAGATCTTTTGGCTGTGTGCAAAAGTCATATGGTATATTTATGTTCTCTGGTTGATTGACATCCAATCTAGTAGAAAGTCTTTCCTGTCTTGTAAAAATTATGAGTGTTTCTAGCTATGCCTATAGTTATTAGCATCTAAATTCAGAGGAAGTAATTCAACCTCAAAACTAAATGCTGCAAGAGCATCACTACAGCAAGTCTTTTACTATGACACTGCACACTGTGACATGCTGGTATACTCCTACTGTGAACTAGTGTAGAATACTCATAAAATATGAACATAAAAAGGGTCTCAAACACAAAGATGTTTGAAAACCGTCATATTTTTCAGTGTTCTGTCAGGGTTTTCCCAGGTCTTCTCTCCCAGTTGAATTTTGGTTGGAAATTTAGCCTCAAATTAGGGTTATAAGTGGGCCTGCTTGTGCCCAGTTACAGACCAGGATATACAGAACTTGCTCCTCCTCAGTGAAGATGAAAGTATCAAAGCTGCTGCATTATTTGTAAATGAGTCACACCGAAGCACCTGAGAAGACTAAAACTCTTTGTGACAACCATCATTCTTCTTTTTATTATTATGTTCATTTTTCCTAGAATAAACAGAAATTTCTGACATGACAGATGTAAGCTGACTCATACACACAGGACTAATTAGTGAGTAAATCCACTAACTTCAGTAACATGAACCCTGTCATAAGAAACACATGACTTTATGTGTTTTACTGTCCCTGCTTCAATGCAAGGTAGAGTCTTCTCTCTGTACTAGATAGTGGTGTCCATGCAGCATCATGTATTCATTTGCAGTTTCAGAATATCCAAATGTATTAGGTATTAACTGAAATAATGTTTTGTGTGGCAGGCTTGACTGCAACAGTTTTGTATCTCACTCACATACTACATTATACCACAAACTTCTATGCAACAGAAATTAATGGATTTGGGGTTTTGTTTTTGTTTTGTTTTTTCTCTGTAGAAATGGATCTACTAACTGCAATAATTTTCCTGGCTGCTTTGCTGCACCAATCTGATGGGCAGGTAGGAGGAATCATCTATTCAAAAGAGCCATAACTGGACATGTTGTATAGGTATCTGACATGGGCTACTCTGGTCTAGTGATCTTTCAATCCTTACAATTCAGGGATTAAATTATTGTTAACACATTAATAGTTTTTCTGGGATGAGCTACCTGAGCTCTTGCCCTCTCCAGAATGTCTAGCTTAGATTGAGGTGTCTTCTTAGACATTAAGTGGAAAGAATCTTTTCCTGAGAGATGTTTTACTCTGAAAATTCCAACGTAAGTATTATTAATTATTTTTCTCTGCAAGGTTTCATCACCTGACATCACGATGTAAGAGACAACCTTAGGTATTTCAGAAGATAGTCTTATAACAGTCCTAAGTTTTGATTCAGCTTCACATTTTTATGCTATTTACAAATGAGAACAGCTAGGTACTTTTTAGCACACACAAAAGGAGATTTTGGTTGAAATCTGGTTTCAGAGCTAAGCTTTCTACCTGTTTGATGTGGAGACATCTGAAAGTATAATTCTTACCTGCAAATTTCATTTAGTGTGACACCTCCTAAAGAAAAGTGCAGTTTAAATCAAGGAAGGAAGAAAAAAAAATAAATCAGCGATTATAGGTATAGAAGAACTGATAAAGGAAAGTTGGGAATTTCCAAGATCTTTACTTTGACAAGAAGCTCGTAATTTACCCTGCTTATAAAAATGCTGATAACTGGAACCTTCATTGTTATTGTTTTCCAGGATGTAAAGTATAAACAAGTGGACGTTTCCGCCATTACTCATTTTTCATTTCAAAACCAAAAAGAGATCCTTGAGCAACACAATGAAATACGGAGATCTGTAATTCCCACAGCCAGGAACATGCTGAAGATGGTAAGCTTGCTTTCCACATCATTAGCAGAAGATTGTAGGCTTCTAAACCCACACTCAGTGAAGAGAGAGGGCAAGAAAGGTGCTCTGGGGTTGAGATGAAGAAATCAAATTGTTTCTTTGTTTCTTCAGACTTCATGCTTAATTTTGCACCCCTTGGTGATAAAAGCACTTGTAGAGTCGTTGCAAAGCTCTCAGGATAGGCCACAAATGCTATTCAGAATCCCTCTCCCAACCAAAATGTTTTAGTTTCTCCACTTAGAAAACTCAGTTAAGCAACATAGGAACAGTTCCATGACTAGGGTTATTTGTCTACAGGAACCACAAACACAGGTTTGCCCCAACCACATCTAGTTTTTGCTCTCAAAGCTATGTTAACGTAGCCTGCACATTGAACCACACGTTCTTGCTTTATGTTTGTTCATTGCAATATATAGCAACTTCAAGCCTTTTCAGTGAGAACACTTAAACCAGGGATAAGGTACAAAATGCAATGACGGATCTCAGATTATGGATACCGCCTTTTAATCTTTAGAAGGATAAGCAGCTCCCTTAGAGAAAGACATGCCCTAGATAAAGAGAAGTGTATAAAGCAAACTTGGAACAGGAGCACAAGCAGCTGAATGCTTTTGAATCACAGACTGTCAGGGGTCAAAAAGGACCTAAATCTGCACACCCACTTGTCCTTAGCTGAGCTTGCTTTGTCCATCATTGGTCCCATTCCTGATATTCTTTGTTACCGCTATCCCGTGAGTAGATAATCTGGTCAGTTCTTCATGGTTAAGTTTGCATGGTGAGAATTGCAAACATTCCCCAGCTTCAAAGTCTAGCTGGTGTCTATCACTCCATCTCAGCTGCACTAGGGCTCAAAATCAGTTTTATGCCATTAGCTCACTGCACCCTGCAGTGATAAACACAAACACAAAGCCAAAAGAAAGCAACAGTATGTTATGAAATTCCTAGTAACCAGGACCATCTGGAGATCAGTTCAGTGTGATACTGTGCAAAATAACCTGTTCTGCAGCCATTAAGAGCTGAAGAAGTGTGGTGCCCATATCCCAGTAGTGTAAACTTGCCTGACTCCCCTGTTTCTTACTGAGGACCATTTGGATGCACAACACCCAAATCCCTCCCCTTTTTTTATCTTTTCATGTACTGCATTAACCTGCCTGTGACCTGGGTACTTCTTACTTTGTGTCTTTCAGGTGTGGAGTGAGAATGCTGCCAGAAATGCTCAGAAATGGGCAAATAGGTGTGAGATGAAAATCAGCCCAAAAGATCAGAGAATCATTAATGGTACATGAGAAGTATGAATCCCAAGCTGAGGGGTTGATGGCAGTTTGCAGATGACTCCTGTGCATGTGAACTAGAAATAAGGATAACTTTTAATCTGCTGTAGAATATCTTTGTCAGACTAATACCCTTACAGGCGAATTGTTGGAACTGGAGAGAGGGGGATGCTAAGTACTTACCCTATATTTGTACCTTGAAGCGTCTGCATTTGGCTCCTGCTGGAGACAAGATGGCACAGTAGATGACTGTCAGTATGACTAAGTGCAGACATTTTTGTGTAACATTTTGCAGTCAAAGTAGTATCTGTGACTGGAAGCTCACCAGAACCATAGTAACTTTTAGTGCAGCTTTCACAGGTGCAGTATGAATATCACATTGCAAATAGGTGGCATTGTAGAGATTTTTTTTAGGTTGTAGCTACAACCCCTCTGTCCTACCTCCCACCCTACAGCTTGCTTTTCTCCTGAGTTATAAACAGACTTACTTACACTTCAGGTGTCACCTGTGGTGAGAATGTATTACTATCATCTTACCCAAGAACATGGTCTGAAGTAATTCAAGTCTGGAACAGTCAGTCCTCCAATTTCAAGTATGGATATGGAGCAGTCACAAAAAATGTCAATATCGAGAGCTATACCCAGGTATGGAGAACTGAAACAAACTGCAACGATACACTAGGGTTACAGGAGGACAGTTAATTGAGTTTCTCATCAGAAAAAAAATCATCACTATCATCAAAACTTTACCTTTATTCACACTCTGATCCAAAGATAAATTAAACTTTTTTTTCATCTAACTCTGAGACAATGGAACCAGTATTTTGGAAGAGCTGTCCAGAAGAGAAATATTATTCTGTAGGACAGAAAAAAAAAAAAAAAAAAAAGGAAAGAATATTCATGGCTTTAATTTAGAAATACATATTTTTTTGTATAAGGATTTAGATACTTAAGAAATGTCAAAACAAAATTTTTATTATGCAAATATTTGAATTTAAACTTTAGGGTCCTGGCAGAAACAGAGTTCAGAAACATCTGTAACTGTTTATTCATTTTCTGTTTATTCTTTCTGACAACTAAATTGTAAACTTAAAAGCTAAATAGACAAAACAATATCCTGTGGTTCTGTTATTGTGTGAGTTTCTTTATGAGAATTCAATAAAACGTGACTCTGAAATAACATTATGTTTTTTCCTTACAGCTAATCTGGTATAACAGTTACCAGGTTGGATGTGCAGTTGCCTACTGTCCTATGAACCCCTTCAACTACTTTTATGTTTGCCAATACTGTCCTCCGTACGTATTGTCTTTTTACTCATTTAAGATGCAGTAGTTACTGATGTTTTCAAAAACTCCTGCAGTCATGTGTAGGATAAAAATATCACTGTTCATTTTAACCATTTATAATTTTGAAAATACCAGTGTGAGCTGTGGGTTTAACGTCAGATTAAATATAAATATTTCTTATATTTCACATTGAAACAGATATTAGGCAAATTCTAGCATATGAACAAAGGTCAGTCTCCATCACAATCAGGCGTGCACAAATCATTTTATAACTCTGACCACAAGAAAGTCACAAGTAAAGTGAAAGCCAACAGCAAATGAATATTCACAGAGGTAAAGAGCATATTTGAAACACCCTGTTTGTCAAAATGTGTTTGCTGAGGTTATTTCCTAATAAGCTACAATAATTTGAAAGCCATTCAAAAAGCAGAACTAGGAAGCACATAAAATTCTTTTTTAAGCTGACAATGCTATATAAATGCAAATAATTCATTAATTTTCTTTCCCCAAACTTTATTGTTCCTCTTATTTAAAATCAAAGTTCTTGTATTCTATTAATATCTGAAACTAAAACATGACTGACTATGAAAATAATTTTATCCAGAATCTTCTGAGTGTCTTTTATTGTGACAAATAGCATAAACTCCTTTTAACGGTTCAGAGGTGTACTTTGATCTTGTTTTTCCAATTTCAGAGGAAATAATGCAATGCAAATAGCTACACCTTACAGAAGTGGACCAAAATGTGCAGAATGTCCTGGCCACTGTGACAGAGGACTTTGCAGTAAGTGAATTTATTCCCCTCCTTATAACAAGTACCTCAAATAATAATGAGTCCCTTTGTAGCATTTAACTTTTGCAGAGTTACTTCTTGCTTATCTGGATGAAAGATCCTAGAACTGCCTCTTTCATTCCCTGCCCCCAGAAATAACAGTAGTTAAACATCCCTCTAGAATAGGCACATTCTTGAGTAGGGTGGTTGGACGAGAGGTCCCTTCCCACCTCAGCCATCCTGTGACAACAGGTAAATTGTGAAATTGTGTTGCTGTTGAGCATTATCACACTCAATCTTCTGCTGCCCTCTCCTGGAAAGCTCAAGACAGAATGTCTTGATGCACTTCTGCAGGTAAGGGCACAGACTGTCACACATCCTCATGTACGTGAAGAGCTGCACAGGCCCCTGGCTTCTGCAGACTCCCACCTGGAGCAAGTCAAAGCATACAAATAGATGGGAACTGTAAGATATCACCTTTCTGCCTGCATTCCCTTTTCTAAAATATTCAAGCAATTTTAGCAGCAGAGCAGAAGCACAAACACTATAAAGACATACAAATGTAGAAATATCAGATCACAGCTTGGTTTTCAGTTATTGTTTCATCTGTTTCTATCCCTTGTATTTTAGCCAACCCTTGCAAGTATCAAGACTTCTTTGGAAACTGCAGAAATCTGAAGATGTTGTTTAGTTGTAACCATTCACTGGTGAAGGCGAAGTGTCCTGCCACCTGTGGCTGCACCACTCAAATCATATAATATCCTGGTGGATGTCATTATAGCTGCTGTGAGACTTATTAGGAAAGAGCTCACTGTGAAGTGTATTCACTCTCAGTGTATCAGCTCATATTGACCTATAGGTGACATTTTTTTCTGGTATCTCACCATTACTTCAGTCCTAAACAAGTATAGTAGCTCAAAATAATCTCTGATGTTATTTTAGGCTTTGTAGAAATCACACTTAAGCTACTGATGTGTTACTTTGTGGTTTTCCTTACAGCAAATCTTACACATTCATTTATTTTTAATGGGACAAACACTTTTAAAACTTCTTGTGTCTTTTGCAAAATATGCTAAATGACACATAGCTTTCTTCTGTTACTTTTTCCTTGATTATAAATGGAATGTATTCCAGCTAAATAAATATGTGATTTACCACTGCTTCACAAACAGTTTTTCACTGAAATTATTTATAATTCAATGTTTTCATTTATGAATATTTCAAGCCTCTTTTTTTTTTTTTTTGATACTTTATCTGAGTGGGGATAAGACATGAAAAGTCAAAGCAAAAAGTGACACATTGTTTTGTACAGCCAAATAAGAGGCACACCTTGAATCTGCCAGCTTTTACTCTGTGCCCTAAAGACAAATTTTCTGATACATCTGTGTATGCAGGTGAAAAATTATACTTTTTTTTTCATATGGCACTGTCAAGAAATATAAACCCTTTTTAAATCATTCATACAAAAAAAGTGGTATATATGTATTGCTTCCCATCCTCCCTATGAATAAGTTAAATCCCACGTTTGCTTGGAATTCTCATTGCAGCATGTAGAAAAAAACCAAACAAATAAAAAAAAAAAAGGCAGTAGATCCAAGTTTCCCCAAATCTCCATCAAAATGTCTGATTTTCTCCAGAACTTCCCAGGAACCATTTTAGCGCCAGTTCCTAGCGGTACACACCCTTAGGGTTTCTCCAAGGGGATTAAGTTCAGCTGAAGGCCTCACTTGTGCCTTCTCCCACCTCTTCCTATAAGCAGGCCACCAATTCTGGCCTAGGATGCCATGTTTATTTGTGTATTGTTTCTAGCAATGCATTTCCTTGAATGAAGTTTTTCATTCCATATCTTTCGAGGCCCTTTACAATGCAGGGCATGAATTCAAAGGGCTGCGTGTACTGACCCAGAACTGAGGGCTTAGACTTGCTACCTGTCAATGGCATTGATTACCTGGAGAAACTTTCTGACCCATTTCGTAAGGGGATTATCACAATCATGCCTCTTTAGACACTGAAAATGCAATTACATTGATAAAACAGTATGTCAGAATCATCTTATAGATTTAATATATATATATCAGCTTTTATCTGATCTTTATATTTGTAATTTAATAAAATGGTAGCTGCAGAGGAAATAGAAAGTTTTTGCTTACAGTTTATAAACTCTGATAGATGTTAAAAAATTAGCAAACATCTGGAACAGCATTGTGTTACTGAACAGAGGAGCTACTTCCCACTAACCTTCCTCCTAACACATCTCCCAAGTGATGCATCCTGGTGCCATGCACCCATGTGCTGTCCCACAGTCCTCCTTCTGCTCCTCAAGATGTGCGCTGGTCTCTCATAGATCCTGAATCACATACAGTATCCCTGAGCAGGACTTATTCTACTTCGCACCTTCCCTTCATATTTCACACAGGCAAAAGTAATTTTCTCCATGGGCCTGCAGTTCTGGTTAAAAACACGAGAGGGTGAACCATACCCAGACATTCAACTGCAGCAGTTTTTGATTTTGCTGCCTCCACCTTTTACTAGAAATTAAAGTTCTGGGCCTACCCTGGCCTGATTTCAATGCTTACCTGCACAGAATTTCTCAGCTGATACTAGCTAATTAATTACTACATATAGGAACTGTTTGGTAGCTGTTTCTTCCTTTCATTTTATTCTGTCTCTGTTGGCCAAATTACTATCACATTAAAGCAATTTATGCCATCAAATTAAGCCAATTTACAGTTTCCAGGATAACGATGGCTAGTTCTGGTAGCTTTGATTTTCTGCTTGCCTGAAGCTCAGTTTCAACATTGTGACTTGTGTACCACTATTTGAGGTTCCTTACAACCACGGCAATATTTGTAGAAAGTGTAATTCAAACCAAAGCTGGGTGAAAATTTTCAAATAAACTTACATTTTCCTCAGAAAATATTATTCTTTAAAACTGCATTTGCCTTACAGGAGGATACATATTTCTGGCAAAACTTTCAGGTGTTTTGGGGAATGTTTTCCAAGATTAAATTTCTGCTAACAAACAAAGATATGGGTTTTAGAACTCCTTCCATGCAATTATTTTATTATCAGAGATTTCTGAGAGCATTCCCTCCCAAGACAGCCAGCATTGTGCTCTGAATATCCAGTTATGGTGTTTGAGCATGGCAGCCGCAGGAGCTGGCAGAGATCTTCTGCATCATGAAGTGATGCGTTACCCTGGAGCTTCATTAATCCTGCTGGACTGCTGCAGCGTGTCCAGGCATTAAGCTTAATTTCATAAGGGATTTCAAAAGATTCTGCTACCCTATTGATGTGGAATAGAAGAAGTAGCAGGTGAGATGAAAAGTTTCCTGGATGATCCAGCCTCTCGATACAGACTTCAAGGAGAGCTTGAGTCACTCCAATTAGTTGTTCATGGAATACTGTGTGTAGTTTTGGTGTCTTCAACATAAGAAGAACATGGAGCTGTTGGAGCAAGTTCAGAGGGCACCACAAGGATGATAAGGAGATTGAAGCACCTCCCCTATGAAGACAGGCTGAGAACATTGGGACTGTTCATCCTGGAGAGGAGAAAGCTGCATGGAGACCCCACAGCTGCCTTAAAGTATCTGAAGGGGGCCTCTAAGGATGCTGGAGAAGGACTGTAGTGATAGGACAAGGGGTAATGGGTTTAAACTTAAACAGGGGATGTTCAGATTGTATGTAAGAAAGTTCTTCACTGTGAGGGCGGTGAGGCACTAGAATTGGTTGCCCAGGGAAGTTGTGAATGGCCTGGCAGTGCTCAAGGCCGGGTTGGACAGAGCTTTGGGTGACATGGTTTAGTGTGAGGTGTCCCTGCCAAAGGCAGGGAGGTTGGAACTAGATAATCTTAAGGTCCTTTCCAACCCTAACTTTTCTATGATTCTGTAATTCTATGATTCTATGTCCCTGGAAATGCTGAGATGTTTCTGAAATATGAGTTTCCCATATACAGATGAGGTAAAAGTGGTATGATGGTCACTGAGATCCAGCATGTCAAATCACATTTTTCTCCATTCTCAAACTTACTCCATTTTCAAAAACTTACCTTTTATACTCATGCCTTAAGAGTTGTTTCCATTGTGGTACTAGCGTATGCTTTTTGGTATGAGCTGAAGTGACACCTACAGAATTGTGCTACTTTTTAGGTGCAGTTCAGGAGAGGAGCTAGTAATACAGAGAATTTTTTACAATTTCTGTTCTGGCTCCAGGTATGCTCATGAGAAGCACATATGCTGAGAGTCGATAAAAACAACTACTATGGTACAAGTCCAAGTCTTATCTGTGGAGAATAAAAGCTCTTCAGCATTTAACTCACATGACAAAGACTTTAAACACAGACTTTTGAACAAATGTTATGTAGTAACTTTAACAGTCTTATGGCTTGTGAAGAAAGAACATTTTTGATATTTTAAATGTGCCAACTGCAGTACTCACATCTAATTTGGCTGCCTGAGAATCAGCCTCTCGGCTGAGCAAAATTGAAGGTCTTTCACTTTCAGTATTGCAAAGTCTTACTGAAAGCCTAATCTTACCTGGTTTTTTTCCATCTATTGGAGAAAATTTCTTCCATAAATCTTGCCTTACTCATGTCCTTAAAATGCCATACCTACAATAACAAAGTTTAAGCAGCTAAAGCTAAGACTTCATGCTAAATAGAAAACAAGCGTTGGAAACCTTGGCATGCCATTAGAAATTTATGTTGTCAGAATAGCCAATTAATGACCAAGAAACAAAACTGTACAAAGATGCTTAAGCAAGACCAAGCAACAAAAGGTCATCAGAACAGAGACAGGACAAGGATGCTCCCCACCACTGGACTGCTCCTGGCTCTTCTAAGCCAGGCTGCCAAAAATAGGATTCCTCTAAGTGTAAGAGCCACAGTTAAACTATGACAAACAGGAGATAGTCTTCCTCATTAATAAGCTACTTGACAGCTACTGTCACAGCTCCAGGCTGCAAGATACATAACCTCCATGCTTCAGTCTCACCGACTGCAACGCAGAGATAAACTGACACAGTCAGGGCAAGGAAGATTAACTAGTGAACACTGAGAAAGAGCCTATGAAGCACTAAGGCCTGTTAATTATAATATCACATTTGGTAGCCACACCTCCAGCATAATGATAACTCAGTTTAACCACAAGTCAAGGGGACATGGTCACCAGGAGATATAAGTGAGGAAATGACACTCCCTCCTGCACCAACCCACTGGTGATGTCTGAAGGTTCATGGGCTGGTTAATGGGCTCAGCTGCCTGGTCTTGATCTTGTGCAATGCAGTCATTGAGCTGTTCCCTAAGACTAACAGATATTTTGACACCCATATCAATAACAAGTCTTGAAGAAAGGCAATTTTTAGGAGAAGTTGAAGTAATAAATTGGCATGGAAATACTCTCACATACGTTAAGGAAATGGCCCATGTTAACTACCCATTATGTTGTTGTTGTGCAACCCAGTGCTCGATACATGCGTAACTGAAAATGACTCCTTAAAATGATTATTGTCAGATTTTGAGGCTTTTCCACAGTAACAGAAATGGTATTTCAAATCAAATTACATTTTTGTCTTTCTAGTTGCATCATTTGCTCTGCTTTCTTCTCTTATTGAACTTCTGCATAAAGTGATGGAAGTAAAGGAGAAAAACCCAAGATGCCAAACTAAATCAAATTAAGGCCTTTATTTGTTTTGTTAACATTTTTTAATTAAATACAAGATTTTTTAATCTTATTCATTGACTTTAAGCCACCAATTTTTATCTTAGGGCATGCATAAACATTCACTTATCTTCTTTAGAAAGTCTTTTCCCAATGCAAAATTCTAAAAACCTATACTGAATATAACAAGGGAAGTATATGTTAAACCATCTTATTTTTATTTAGTGATACACAGCATTCTTTGTGCAGGCACATATGATAACTCATAATTCTCACAAAGTGATTCCTGAAAGGTCAAAAGCTGTTTATTTTGGCAAAAA